TCTTCTGTCTCGAGACTCTAAATGAGCTCATGCATAAACATATTTTTGACTCATATACTCTATAAATTATTTACAATTCAAATTATCAAGTGATTTTCTTAGATGTCCTTAGACTTAGAGATATTGGTCGGATACTTAAAAAGGCATTGGGAAATTTAAAATATATTATTTATTCTATATGCCTGAATATAGTGGATTTGCTCAACAAATTGGTACATATGTATTCCAAATACGTAACGAAAACATGTCAGATACAGTAATGCTGAAATATATTGTCTATTTCCGATCCTAGCTAGTTTCTTGTATTAGTCAGGTCTCGATTATACAACCTTACCATATACATTGTCTCAAGTAATTTCCGTGCATGGTACAATGTTTCTTTTTCACAAACAAGTTATTTTTTGTACCTATACCTATAAAAAATGGTTAAAAGATAAATCATAAGAAATATCACCATTTTTTGTTCTATTTTCAAAAAGTTATTATAACAAACCTTCTCAAACATGTAAGAACCTTTTTGAAAGATGAAAAAAGAAGAGAATATTAAAAAAAAATTCATGAATAAAGAAATAGTTGTTTCCATATTATGATTGAGAGATGATATTTTGAATATAAAAAAATCAAGAGATGGTGTGTGATATGTGGAGAAGATGGTTTTGTCTTTCTTATGTATCATGAGAGGCGAGCAATTGTTTGTCCCTAAGTTCACAGAGAGACATATGCACGACATCGTTCTCAGTCCCATATCATTCTTTACAGATCTCAAACTCTCTCATTTTTCTTTCTTACTTTTACAACACCACCAAGTACCAACAATAATGTGACAACATTCTAAAAGAAAGAATAGTTAACATCCACGGAATGAGAATATTACATATATTCCATATTAATAGAATAGTTACATCCATAATATTCCCTATTCTATCGGATGTGTATAGATTTTACAATTCGGTATTGTTAGTACTGCAATAATCCGAATTCTAAAAAAGTCTCTTCTGAAAAATTATGGTCGTACATGAATCAACTTTTTCAGTAGTATATTTCACAAAAGTGGTTTAGATTTTTCTTAGTTCATTCTAAACAAATTTCAGTACCGTGCAAGTGAAGATAATATATAAGAGAAGTGATTTAATTTTCCGTAGTTCATTCTAAATAGAACCTGAAAAATCTTTACAGTTAAACTCGTATATATGATGTAGATTTTCCGTACCGTATAAATGTAAGTGTATATTTTTGGTAGTGATATGAACTAGCCACGGGCCAAGACCCACAGACTAAGAAAATTTGAGCTGACTTAGTCGTTCTGGCTACATATGACTGAACCGGATGGACAATTTTTCTCCTTTGT